CAATGTAGATAATGGCTGAATTTAAGTTAAATTTATGCACGGAGTAGAAATGTAATGCGAAATGTCCTTGAGAAGACTGTGTTATGATCATCTCTAATACTAACAATGATAAATAATCAGTAATAGGCAGAGGACATTTAAAATGGGTAGGTGTTCATTGGTAAAAAGGGCAATTTTCAAGCATCGTAAAGCAACCCTTTTTTGGGGGGGGGACTATGGAACATATAGGGTAAAACGCTATAATAAACAAACAAATCTCTTTCATTCTTATTCAATAAACTGTTTTAAGATCTAAAAATAAACAATGAATTCTTGAGTAATAATGATTAGTAGTATATTACAATTAATTCTTAGCGTAAACACCTAATAGTCCCACTGTCATCCATTTTAAAACTGAATTTTTTCTTAATAACTCGCAACAAGCAAGATATGAAATGAGGCATATCTTTCAGTAGTTGTTAACAATTTTTATGACTGAGAAAATTGACACTTTTGGAGCAATTTTGCAGGAAGGTATGGGCTTTACCCCACCCAGCTGTGCACGTCACTATAAATAATAACACATTTTATTCAATTCCAAAAAAGCCGTTTTTAATATATATATATATATATATGTGTGTATCATAAAATAACATTTTTATATTAAAAACACCTTTTTTAGTCTTTGACATTGGTATTGTTAAATTCAAAATATACAGAATGCACAATGGTTATTCTTCAGTAAATGTTATATCTAGGACTTAAAAAGAACGAGCCTAAAATCTTAATATTAAAATAATTTAGAATCTTTTATATCATTAAATGCCTAAATGTTTAATATTTATATCACCCATTCTATTGTTACTTCAACATTCATAATATCGTCTTAACAAACAGATAACTTGTATGACTTTAATGAGAAGTCAAGAATGATAGACAACTGAAATGCAGTCCTGTCGGGGGTATTCCTGTAAAGGAAATTTCGTGGTACCTTTCTTGCCCGAGCTAAATGTACACAAATGATAAATATTATAAATAATAAATAGCATTATTATTATTTGGTTGAATTTTTGTGTTGCACTGTTTAATATTATCTAATAAGTTTAGTTGACGTTAAATGAACAACACACTTCTCACATATATTATTATCAATTTGTTTTATTAAATAATCAAATTTTAATGATTTCTTACACTTAGTGCTCCCTTCAATGTTCTTTTAGTTTTACCTATAAAACAGCATATCTGTGGTTTTATCCATTTACGTCATGAGTATACTTTGTCCTTAAAACGTTAAAGCTCAGTACGCATGCGTGACGCGCGTATTTCAAACGCACTTAAGAAATTGAGGCTGAATATTTATAATGACGTTGGTATTATATTTCAATCAGTAAGAGGAGGTCTTAATTTTAGGCTTTAGGTAATATTAATTAAAGGTATAAAAATGTCCGAAAATCCATCAGAATGGGAGATGAGCAAAGAAAATATACAGCCTTTACGACAAGGAAGGAAAATGACGAATTTACGAGCTGCTTTAGCTCCACGAGCCGAAGAACAATTGCTTCAACAACGGCAGTAAGTGTAATATAGTCAAGTAACGTCTCAATATAGGCTTAACTTAGGTGCCTCTATTAGTATTAGTGCTACTGACAGTGTTATTGTTTCTTGTGTATAACTTTTAACTAACTTAGTTACTGGATGAACCAACGCAACAGGCCCACATGTTGTTCATCATTATTGTTTCAGTGTTAATCAAAGCTTTAATTTATTTTGAAATGTTCATGAATGATTCAAACTGTTTTTATTTAATTTTATTAAATAACCGATTTTGCTTATAATCTTATTATCAACAACAATACCAATTACCGAATTAGTACTTGAATTACTATCACAGTATTACTACTACTAGTATTAGTATCGACAATGACAATATAAAATAGAATCCAGAACTACACAAATACTATAATTAACACACACACACCTGCAGTTTGCAGTGCCTCTGGGGGCATTAATAAGGGGCAATACAGTATTTAATATCTGACAGTCCATGAACATTTTCGATAAAGGTAAATTTGGCTGCTCTCTATTGCTGGGCTTTGGTTGCTAGACTAATGATGGTCATCTCCCACAGTACTAACTCTAGTAAACAACTGTTTCCTCCATCATATACCATATATATTAAAAACACAAAATACATGAAGTAAGCTAGTTTGGTTAATCATAATAAAATTTCCACAACGGTGTGAAATTTAGTCTTAAAACCTGCTTCTTACATAAAGGAATCTTCGGTAACTGTTAATTAGTTACAAGTCTATCTCGTACTCATTACATAATCACTGACTATCAGATATCTTTTGAAATGTGAGTATATGGTTATAGTTTTTTATATGATATCTTGATTTCTTGCATTATTAATGTTTTTATCTGATTTAGTTTTATTTGGTAAATTGCTTAATCTTTCACATGTTTGTTCATTAACACTTACTATGACTTAGATTTGATCTTTTGACACATTGATTTTGTGTGTTACTGTTCTGTAATTCCTTTTAAACTTGTACTGACTCCCTAAAACACTGAGAGAATTGGAAGGGTCTTTACTATAAACTAAAGCATTTAATATAAATTTAACTTGGATATGGATGACAAGGAATTTATATTGTACTGTTATGTTTCACTTAAGACAATAGGTGCATGTTTTTGACCAAAAGTGTGTTTTATACTAACAAGCAACATAAAGGACAAGACAAGGAAGATCTAATAATGAAAATAAAGATACTTGAGTAACAGAACAAAAAAAAAAGTATTAAGCACTGAGTGTAACCCTTTTTTACAAATTTATCATGGTCACAAAGTTTACTAACTTTACTCGGAAATCTGTTTTTCTTTTCCGTCATTCATCTTTAAGGTGTTTAGTGGTTCAGTTCATGTTCTTGTTGTCCTTTATTCCCAAGAATAAATTTCTGGAACACATTCTATATTAAAATTTATTGAGACAATCTTTTGTACTTGCAGTTTATACTGTCGGCTTGCATATTTCATTTTCTAGATCTATCTTATCTTCTTTGAAATCTGAGATTTTGGAGTTTTTAGAATTATTTACCTGTTTATGTGTTGTTATTTTTAAATGGGTATCTGAACCTGTGAAGGTTGAATTTGTTTCAGGCTGGTTTTATTGGTCTGAATGGCAGTCTTGGTTGTCCTTGTGTTCTTGGGATATACAAAATTATGCTAAGAAAAGTATTTTTATTATCTGGGAATTATGGATGATCCAGATGGAGCATATAGTTTTCTGTTTCATCATTGTTCTTGATTTTGAAAGATTCTGTTTAATATATTTGTGAATAGTACATTTTGAGTTATGTTTGGCCTTGGTTTGGAGATTAAGATATACATTGATAGTATGTTACTTGCTATATTTTCTCAGTATTATATTTAAGAGAAAGTATGTGAATTATGTCACATATTTTGTTCAAGGATATTACACATTTGTAGACATGTTGCAATTAGTGTTTTGCTATGTTTTTCTTTTAGGATATTTGAAGCTGAGTTAAGAACATATCAAGGAGATGATCCTTTAGATATTTGGTATAGGTAAGTATACATAATTAACTTATTTGTGTGTTCATACAAGATGAAGCAATTTGGATAATGTTAAAATTGTGTAGGTCAAATAACATACTGCTTTGGTAAAAAATAAATTTTATTTTTAGGAGAGCATACTACCTGTTCTCCCAAAAATAATCACTTCATTATGCTTATAAAACGTTTTTTTTTATTAATTTAAATTAAATTATTAATTTAATTTAAACTATTAATTTTGTATTACTGCTAACAAATCAAAGTGAAAAAAATATTTACAGTCAACAGCATGTGATAAGTAGAGGGAAAAAGTAAAATAATAAGCTTGTTAACTGTAACGATTGTTAGATTCTAGTGTAATAGATAATTTTCTTCAATATTGATTATAATTTGACTTTCTCCAACCACACCATTTGAAGAAAGGGAAAACTTTGATTCGTGTATTAATGTTAAAATACAAGCTATGGACAATCGATGACTGATAGTATTCATCTGGCAACTTGCTGAGTTTAGTGTCACAGTTAAAGGTCGGTAAGAGCCCTAATGAAATGGTTAGTCAGTAATAACTATACATGTTTGATCTGTAACTTGCATGGTGTGCATGTAAATACTGCAACTTGTATAGTAAATAGGAGCTAAGCTTTCTTTATAAATTGTGCAAAATTTATAATCTCTGCCTACAAAGTATTTGAAAAATATGGTAAATTGTTATAACTTGTAAAGTATTCATTTATAGTCTGTTTTTGTGAGATGTTTATGTAGGAAATATAACCTATATAAATGCTCTTTTTTTTTTTTTTCCATGTAAAGTCCTTTTTTCTTTTTTTTTTCTTTTACAGATATGTTAAATGGATAGAACAAAATTACCCAAAAGGAGGATATGATGCAAACTTGCCTTTGTTAGTAGAACGCTGCCTAAGTGTTTTCAAGGATGCTAACCATTACTATAATGATAAACGTTTTGTAGAAATATGGTTAAAATATGTAAGTTGCATTTGTTTTGTGAGTTTGTTTCTGGTAATAATGTTTAAAAATTATCTTAAGCTTTAAATAAGTTTGGCTGATTGATGTAGTCAGTATGTTTAGAGTTAAAAAAGAAAGTGCTCTTTTATCTTTTTTCCTGAACATAAATAAAGTCACTGGAACATACTGCTCTTGAACTATAGAAGTCTCAAAGAGATCATTCAATTCAGAATAGGAAGATTATGGAGAATCAGATTTTATAGAATCGGTTTAGTATTCAATATTCAGTATTTTCGATAAATCCATAATTTTACAGCATAAGTTTAGATGATATTTCTATATTTTATAATTGTAGGTAGGACTAGATTAGAACTAACTGTACAATGTTTCGCTGGATTTCTTAAGTTTACAATAAACTGCCAAATTTTGTATCTTAAAAATATCAATAGCATTTTTCATATTATATGGTTCTAATTTTGGAAAATGAAATCTTATGTTTTTTGTTTTTTTTAATGTGGAAATGTGATTTGGTTGAACACTCATTTACAGGAAATATTATTAAGTTATTATTCTTCAAAATGGTATTAATATTAAATTAGCTTTGAAAATTAAGTTTCTAGAAATAGATGCTGTATAAGTACTTAATATACCAAGATTTGGACAGATTTGTTCAAGTAAAAATAATACTTTATAATGGATTGTCTGTCTGGACAAAATTAAATGAGAATATTTTGGTATGAATACAAATTTTACATTTTTATCAAGTTAATGAAAATATTCTTTAAGGTGCGATTCTGTTTAGTTACTAGCCTAAACATATTCTAGAAAGTACTTAATTTTTGTGTTTTGATTTAATTACAGTTGAAGTGCAACTCCATTTAATATATGTACCAATTCTACTTTATTAGTGTTAATATTTTGAAATATTCTTAAATCTGATAAATGTTGAATAATGTAAGTGTAGCAGATGATGGTTGAATTGACTGTTTAACAAGACAAGTGTGCGTGTGTGTACTAAACATAAAATTACCACACTGATGAAATGTTTATCTTTTACAGGTGAATCAGTGTGACAACAAGTTGGAACTTTACAACTTCATGTTCACTCACAAAATTGGCTGTAAACTGGCCGTGTTTTACGAAAACTGGGCTTACCAGCTGGAGTTGCAAGAAAACTTTAGGCGAGCTGATTCTGTTCTCACTGAAGGAATTCAATCTGGAGCTGATCCTCAAGAAACATTACTTTCAGCTCAAAAGTAACTGTCTTTTCTACTTTTATTCTTCAGTGGGGTGTAATAGCAATTGAAAGTAATTTTCCCTCTGAAGAATTGTAATAGAAAATCTTTATTATAACCTCCAAGCAATTAAGAACAACTGTTTATTTACTATTGAAAGAAACCTTATATTATAGTAACTAAAACAAGTTTTAGTTTTACTCAAGTAGATTATCAGTAGCTAATATAAGGATTAATTTTTGGTTTTAGTTTTTTTGGTAATTATAATTGTAGGTACTGAACAACCCGTTTTTACTTTAGAATTAATTAAATCTTAATACTGATAATACAGGCCCTGAGTTGCCATTGGAGCTGTCAGTGATCTTATTCATAGTGAGATGGAGACGTGTGTATAATCGGTTCAGTGGTGTTCCTGGACATTCTGGAGAGAATTTGAATCACTTTTTCCTGTGTTGTCTTTTCAGGAGGCCATGTTGGGATAAGCTGCCTCAGACTTTTTTTTGTCAGTTTGTCCATCGAGTGTATGATGTTTTGGGTCTTTCCCCAGTTGCTTTTGAGTCTGCACCTTACTTGATGGCTGAAAGGCCTGGGAGGAAATGCGTAGTTTTTACTGAATCCACTGACATTGTGGTTCGTGCAGTGAGGTTTACTGCGCAGTTACGTGAAAGGGCTGCTATGCCTTATATTCCACGGTTGTTGCAACTGTGTGATTTTAGTCTACCACCACCACCAGGTGGAAGCATATTCCAACTCTTAAAGAATATATTGGCTCCTGGTCATTAGAGGTTCTATAGTGGAGTTTGTAGTTAACCTGAATAGATCACTGTCCCCTGGTTGGGCAGTGGTAAGTATATGGACTTACAACTGAAGTCCAACACGTTGTTTTCCTAAAACTAAACTTTTTTTTTTGAAGACTCTGATCACAGTTCATTGAAGACGAGCTAGAACCATTGTTAGCATGCACATTGGTTCTATTGTCAGCTTCTACATTCATTCCTGTTGTTGGATTTTTGACTTTCATTGGCTCCTACAGAGGATCATAATTCCACCCTTATTGGAATGTCCCGACATCAACCTCTTGGTTCATTGGTACCGAGAATAGATTCTGTCCATATCCAGGGGTTCCGCTGCTCAATCGGAATGCCGCTAGCTGTGTCAGTGACTGTTGTATGCCTTTAGGGTCTGTGTGGGCTTAGCTCTGAGAATTTTTGGACATGTGGTAAACCTTAACCATGGATCCATGATTATTTAGATTATTTTGAATTTAATGTAATTAAATCAGTAAAACTAAATGTAATTTATTTTGAATGTAATACCTAAATCTTATTTGTAAGAAAGGTATTACTGATTACTTTAATTTCAGAAAAAATTACTTAGTTATATTTACTTAAAGCAATAGAATTAATATGGCATATGTTACAAACTGTTTGGAAACCAAACCATTGTCTTTTGTTCACCAAATGAAATAATTTATGCTGTATAGTGTATTATTCAGCAAAAGTAGATTTAGCATCTTTAATATTTACCATATGTTTTTTTCTTTATGAAGATTTGTTCATATATTACCTTTATCTTTAAAAATGAGTACACTAAATTGGGTTGACACAATTATTTTTCTTGGTAAAATGCAAGTAAATGGGGTTAGTGTAATTGATTACTAATTAATCAGAACATTCCTAAAGAAAATGAATTAAATTTGGTCTTGCTATACCTGTAGGATTCCTTTTGTTGAAGTTGTTATGGTTCAATTTACTTTTCTATAATATTTGAAAAATGTTTCTGAAAATAAACTTGTGGAACAATAAATCCTACAGACAGTTGCAGATGAAAATTGGAAAGTTGATAATGGAAGGAGTAGAAACAAATGATATGGATAATTTTGGAACAGAGGTTGAGAGGACTGCTCTAGGTGCATTAAGGCCAAAAGGGAAGAAACAAACTGTGGGGGTTAACAGAGTTGGACCAGCTAGGATTGGTAAGTTGATATTAAGATTCATATCATAAGTTAATGTGTGTACCTTCAGTTACATCTGAAAGAAAATTTGATTGTTTAAGTAATATTCCTAAATTGACCACTTTTAGAAAGTTTACATTACAAAGCCTTTCAATTCAAAGTTCTATTAGATTATAAACTGTTTAGGTCAATGTAGTGTAAATATAGTAATTTGACAGTAATTTATACTTTTTGTGGGAAAATTATTAAGTAGGTGGAGCTCCTATAGGTATGATTAATGGGAAGTTTAGAAGTCTTGAGAACAAATCACAGATGTGGATATTTGTTTGTAGAGTCTGTAGATTTTTTTCTTTTGAAAATGTTTTGTTTAACTCAGATCTGTTTGAAAAGTAAAGGAACTTTTTTTTTCTGTGTCACTGTTAGGTGAGCTTACTTAAGTTTCGTGAGTACTGATTATGCGAAGTTAACTACAGTAAAATTAAAAAAAAAAATTGTGTATGTAAAAAAACCTTTTTCCCACAACTCCATATATCAATTTGTTTCTTAAATATGCAGTTTTTTTGCATAAATGTGTTCCCCATATATCGGTATAAACCTTTAAAGCTTAGTAATGCTGCTCATTTTCTATAGTATAGTTAGTATAGAAAAAAATTCTCTAAACTTGTGTTAAAAGATTAATTTGGACACTAGATCATGTGGATGGTCTGCCAGGACAGGAAAGAAATCCTTCAGTATTGTCTAAGAACAATGGTGTTGCCAAAAAACCCTTTAAAGTATACAATGATGAAAATGATGTTGCTGTTTGTGATCTACCACTGAAGACAAAAAGTAGTTGTCATTTTACAAAGCATTCTGAGGCTTCCAAAGAAAATGAGAAAAAGCCTGGAAAGTGGACTAAGGCCAAGGTAGGTGTACTCTTCAGAATAGTTTTAATGTTTAAAAATTACTAATCTATTGAATTTTTTAAAATTTCAATCATGGAATAGTTTTTTTGTTTTTTTTATGAAATTGACAAAGATGTTTATAATCCCCCCCCCCCCACCTTATATTACAATCAGACCTAAACATGGTTATTGCTTTGGATCTTTAACTTAAATTTAAATATTCTCAATTATAGTGGTGGTAACAAGTTTGTCTTTAAACTATTGGCCAATACAGATTTTATTTTCTAATGATAGCTTCCACAAAAAACAACTTCAACTGTACCATTCTCCTCTCTTGGAGCAGTGCAGCCACCATTCATTGTCCATGAAGATGAGGATGTTTCACAACCTACTATGTAAGTTACATATCTGTTACTTTTGTGTGCAGTGGAAAAACCATCTTATTTTTCTAGTAGAAATTGGTTTATTCAATTTTTCATGTGAACATAATGATATAATACAATTGAAGGATAGACAGCTGGTTTGAACTGAAAACACTTGGCTTGAACCTTGAATAGTCTTCTAGAAGAGGTTCAAGAAAAACTGAATGAAAACTACAGTTATCTTTGTTAAGCATTTAGTTTCTATAAATTTGCTTTTTTTTTCTTCTTCCCTAAGGCCTCGGTAGATGTTATGAACTAGAACAGTAGTAAACTGCATATTTACTTGCATTGCAGTACTTTATAATCATACTTTACTGTTATTATTACTTTAGTCTTTTGTACAAGTATTTACTGTTTAGTGTGGCTGTTTTACTCACAATCTTTATTAGAAAATTAATGTTGGAAAGGTAAAAAGAAAAGAAATTCTGAAACTTGTGTTTACTCACTGTATGCTTTTTATTAATTTTAATCATTAGCTAATTATTTTTAATTTTTTTCAATAGAACTCCAAGAAAGTTACCTCCTGGAAGCCATGTCCTTAGGTAAAATATTTCTTTTCCATTAATGCATAATTTATAATAGTAGTCAATAATAAAATGTATAACGTTAGAATAGCAGAACTTTCTTCGGGCAGTTTTATTTATTTAGTTGATGTGTATTTGGGTATGCTTTATTTCAGTGTATAATATAATGTGATGCTTTAATGTATTTGGTTTTAGAACATTAACATCATTCATAATGCTTACTGCAGTAACACTAGTGTACAAGAAGAACAACATTAATTTTTGGTATTTTGAACACCTGGGAAGGTTAATATATGTATGGAGACATTTTCACAACATATACAGAAATTGAATTGAAATCTGATCTGATTTGAGCTTAAGTGTGTGTGTGTGTGTGTGTGTGTTTAGGTTGTATATAATAGTGAAGGTTCTGACAACATTAATGTTATTTATCTGTATGTTTATAGTGCCAAGAAATGTCTAGACAGTCCTCCAGTTGCCATTTTTGAACCCCCTGATCCTACTAAAATACCCAAGTATGACAAAATGAAAGTTTATGGAGGTGGTAGAGAATTCCAGTTTGAAGAAATTCGTGCTGCAAAGTATTTTGCTAAGAAAAAGGAACAGCAAGGTAAGATTTTATTTGTAGATAACTTTTTTACGTTCTTAATCTCCTCCCAAGACAAATTGTGCTTAATTCTGATCATAATTTATGAAATGTTTATTGTATAAATTAAATACTATTCCAAACGTTTTTGCAGAGGTATGTACAAAGATTTGTCAGTTTTTAAAGATATGCAGTGCTGACTGGAGTTATTTGGACATATTGAAATAACCTAAATTTTTTTTTTTCTTTTTCTCTCTCTCTCGACATATTTATTTACTTATTTTTTCTCATTGTTTCATTTATAGTTGTGATAAATATTCAGTATTTCAATTTTTTTTAAATTTTATCATTCTTTTCACTTGACTTTTGTGATAGAGACAGATAAGTTAGATGATTATTATAATGTTACAACCTTCTTTATTATCAACAAATTTTAAATATTTAGCAACTGCCTAGTACAGTGTGGCACTTGAGGAGAAAGATTTCTGTGTATTCATCATGAAGATTGCCAAAATCATCTGTTTGGTACCACCTAACATGCATGTAACAAAAACAACAAAAAAAAATTATTGTTACACTTAAGTTTTCACTATTGTAATATCTTGATAAATATATAAGAAACAATGAAACGATTAAAAAATTTTTTTTTTCTCCAATTTTCATATCTGTTAAGTATAACGACTTGTACAAGTAAAAGATGGAACTGTGGAATATTTTGGAAGAAAGTGATAGTAATGTGAAGTAAATTTGTTAAAATTATCTAATACTAAATATATATAGTAGCATCTTTTCTGTTTTACTGCAAAAAAGTGACTTCTGATATAACTTAATTATATTAATTACATTTATACGTCAACAGTCTAATTCAAAATCTAAATAACTTACTGCATCTATGCTAATGTACCTGCAGAAAAAGAGAAAACAAAAAAACTAGAAGAACAAGTGCTGTTATTACAAGAGGAAATGAAGAAGATGTGGAATTGTTTCCAAGGAGGAAAGCAAACTGAAAGGCACGTATGAAGTCATTTTCACCAACTTGAACAAATAAAAGAAATTTCTGAATAGCAGTATTATTTAGCTGTGGTGAGGGGGTGGGGTGGAGTGTATGGAAGAACTATTTTTGTGAAGAAGACAAATATAAAAGCCTATATAACCAACATTTTATGCATCTCTGTGAATCAAAATATTAGTTGAGTGTCTGAATTTCTCAAAAGCTTGATGAATGTCAAATGTGTAATAATTTATTGTCTGTTTTATTGTTCGCATGACACTCGAACAAAACATGCTAAAAGTTAAACATAACATATTCTTTACATTTTATTTCATGTATACTATTCAAATTTTGACCAATTGGAGTCTTGTTAGTAAATTCTCCCAGGCTTAACAACATGTTTTTTGTGTGAATGTATTTCATGCAAAAAAGAAATCGCTGAAAATTTGAATGCTAGTTTACTATAAAGACTGAATTTTAAAAATGAAAAATCTTATTTAGTGGGATAATGTAGCAAGGCATAGAAAAGTTGATAGTTAAGCTTAAAACAAATTCAGGTGGGACTAATTCAGTAAAGAACAAAGAAAAAATCAAGTTTATCGTTTGGACTAAACCACAAGTGATGAAGTCAAAACTGAGAAAATTGATTAAAAGTTTGATTTACTAAAAATAGCTTTATGCATGATATACATCAAAACTATGCTTCTCAGGGTTGCTATATAATTTTGACATTTTACAGTAAGTTAGTTATTATTTAAAGGCATTGTATATGTCAAATACATTAATTGCAGAGATTCTAATTTTAAAACTTTTTGGGAAAGGATGACCTCCCTAGCATTATACTCAATGTATTGGACTTTTCTCTCTTTCCCTGTTCTCATCCTGTATTGGATATAAATGTGTATCTTATTACTAAATATTTTTACTGAAAATAAACATTGCCATCACAAAAATCAGCAAGTATTGCAACTTGTAATGTGTATTCAACACTACTACTACTACTATTATTATTACTAAAAAATGTGAAGTAGTTTTCAGAAAAATTGCAAATCTGAGTTTTTTTTGTTTTGTTTTAAGTGCAAAGATACAAACTAAATTATCTATGCTGTGTCCTTCATGTGTATCTAATTTAAATTTTTTAGAATTATAAGCTTTCAACCTTACTGCTGATGGGTTTTCTACATTATGTCCACTGTTGGAATGAAACCCGAGATATTTAGCAGTGTAAATTGTAAACTTGCCGTTGACCCATGAAGTGGACATAAATCTAAGACTGCCATTATCCTGATAAATGATGTTGGGAAAGAATAAATTGTAGTTGTTAAAGTAATTAGAAGTTTGGGTAGTGCCAGGTGTAATTTATCCTTACTTTGACTTGTAAAAAGAAGATTGGGGGGGGGGTC